GGTATTAGAAGTAAATATGTTGAAGAGAGATATTCAGTTAATATGAGACAAAATTAAAACACGAAAAGTGCATAATGCACTCTTGTCGGTCGAAGTTCCGCAATCGTATTCTAATTGCGGAAGATTGTCTCATTCTGGAAGACATTGTCTATGCAAGTCTCCCAGAATGACACATTCATACACAATCTTCTTCTGATTGTGTATCTTTTGTCAACAAAGTGCAACAGTGCACTGTTATTGTGTGCTATGTGTCATTGTGGGAGACATTGTCTATGCAAGTCTCCCAGAATGACACATTCATACACAATCTTCTTCTGATTGTGTATCTTTTGTCAACAAAGTGCAACAGTGCACTGTTATTGTGTGCTATGCGTCATTGTGGGAGACATTGTCTATGCAAGTCTCCCAGAATGACACATTCATACACAATCTTCTTCTGATTGTGTATCTTTTGTCAACAAAGTGCAACAGTGCACTGTTATTGTGTGCTATGCGTCATTGTGGGAGACATTGTCTATGCAAGTCTCCCAGAATGACACATTCATACACAATCTTCAATTCTTGTTTTAATTTTGTCTCATATTAACTGAATATCTCTCTTCAACATATTTACTTCTAATACCCGACAATACCTTATCATAAAACCTCCTTTAAATCCACTTTTTCTTCTTTCATTACTTTTAAATTCTAAGATTCAAATTTTTTCTATTTCATTCAGTTTTCTTTTATCAAAATCATATAACCATTCATACTGATTCTTAATTTACTATATTACATTGAGATTTCATCTTTTTTCATATTTCGAATTAAATCAGCTATTTAAACCTAATATCCGGACCTGTCAGTATTCAAATATTATTGGCCACATGTATCTGAGCATTTACACGGATTTTACCAAATTTTGCAAAAAATGTGTTATGAGATGGGTGTTTACCCACGTTTTGCAAAAAAAAAACCAAAATGATAGAGTGGGTAATAAGGATCAGTTTTGCTATAGCTTGTCCGGCTTGAAACTCAATATTCATTCGGGAAAAGACGTTTCAAAATTTTGTAAAGTATTCAAATTTGCAGCTTTGTTCGATTTGAAAATTGAAATTTGAAACGAAATGACTGTATGAATATGTTCTTCATATTGAATCTAAGCATTTCTTGGAATTTGGAGTTTTTCTAAAAAGTTTTATCGGTTGAAAAATTAAAAATAAAACAAAAGAATTTTTTCCGATTTTTTAAACGCATCTTAATTTTTAACGGACGAAGGAGTATTTGATCAAAGTTCAATAAGGCTATTACACTATATTATAGTTAGCTTGCAAAGTAAGCAATATAATCTGGAATTTAAGAATGATATAAAAATTTGATAATATAATTTTTGTGTAAATTAGTATTTAATAGGAAAATATGAAATTAGATTAGTCAAACATATAAATTGTTATTATATGAAATGATAACAATTGATAAAACATACAGATTGGAAGATTAGGTGAATTTTTGTGATGAATAGGTGTGTTTGTATGTAATGCCTCTATAGTATATTCATAATAAAAATTAGTATACTATAAAAACTTGATTTGAGAAGAAAATTAATGTGGAATAAGAAGATTGTAGAGAAACGTCTCATTCTGTGAGACAGTCACAAATAATATCTCCTTACCATATCAAATCCTTAAATTTTATATATGCTATTTTTTTAATCTTTTAAAAATTTCTCTTTAACTCTCTTCAAAGACTTTCTTTTATGTCAAAAATTTGTTTCACTTTGCCCCAACTCATATACTCTAAAAATAATAACAATAGCCAAATATATAAAATTAATTTTTAATTCATTAAAATTATATTTATTCAAAGTAAATCCTCATATAAACTTCTATGAACCATCCTCATCTGTTAATTCAATCAAGTATTCTAAGAAATTTGGGCAATTTTCTTCGAATAATTGGCTCTCATATGATAAATCTATTAATTCAATTTTGTCATGCATAAAATCATACTTTCCGAATATGCAATAGCATTTTTCAAGAGCCAACAATAAATCAATTTTAAATCTTAGACTGTTATTATTAAATGATTCAAGTAGTCCTTCCTCCAATAAAAAGTGGTACATTATTTGTTGATCGTTCTGTGAAAATTCGAAATTTAAGATACAATAGCAAATTATCTGAACGAAAAAATTTTTCTTGCTAGAATTGTAATCATTATAATTATCAATAATATTTGAAAAAAGACCGCTATAAAAGATAAAATCTTGATCGAAATGCGTAAAAACAATGAAAAGTATCTGATTGAAGAATTCTGGAACGCTTTGGTCTAGACACCACCATATGTAACGGTTAAGAGAGAACTGTTGATCTTGCATTATAAAGTCTACTAGTGAAATTTCGTTATTCATTAAAGAATACAATAATGTACCTATTTTCTTTTGTTTATTATGTGTTGATTTGTTTTGCCATTGAAAATAACATAGATATGTATCATCGGATTCTAATGCTAAAATTTTAAAGTCGTAATAAATAACAATCCGGGTAAAAACAAGGATATTTTTGTCAAATGCATCTATTTTGTCAACAGGAAATGGTATCTTGGAGACACAATCACCAATATCAATATTTTCAACATCTTGTTTATAAGATTTGATATTCATTAAAATTTGATATAAAAAAGTAAATTCATTGCTCAGAAAATTGAGAAAATTAAGAGTAACCGCCAAATAAGATTTTTAAAAATAAAGAACTAAGGGTACAGTATATGAGAAGGAAGAAAAAAAAAAGGTAGTGGGGCATCCAGGGGCTGCGCCCCTTCTAGCCCTGAAGATGTTTAGTATAAATGAAGTTTTTATTCGGAAAATTGTTAGTCTTCTGGTGTGAATTCGGAGGACTCTTCTTCTTCCTCCATTGCTTCTTCTGAAATTTCTTCTTCTTCCTCCATTGCTTCTTCTGAAATTTCTTCTTCATCATCATTTGTTATAGGGTCTCCAACATATCCGGCAATGAAGATACGGATGTGTTGGTTGAATGGTGTATGGAGAGAGAACTTGGAGTTTCCAACAAATTGGAATTCGCAGTCCAATTTGAGCTGTGCTGAGGAGGAGGTAAACTCGGCTATTTTAAGCGGCTCAAGTCCTTGACGAACATTATATAGAGAAACACTTTGACCGAATGTAACCCTTTCAGGCTCAACCATAGCAATAGTTGAAATTACGTGAAGAAAGTCTTCATAGAATTGTTTTGGTTGTATTGTGAATGTCTTAGCAAGCTTTCCTTGAGGAACATCTACATAGAACTTGAAATGTTGTTCCTTTCCGTGTTCTTGAAGTTCTTCAATCCAATTATATGTAAACGGATAAGGATGAAACAGTTTCAGACGTGCGTATAGACTTCTTTGCTGTCTGGGACCGAATGTTTGAATAAACTCGTCACAGAACTGTAAACCAATGATATTTGCTGTATAAGGAAGCAATTTGAAGAAGAATTCTGAAAGGTTTGTTGGATTTTGAACATTATCTTCAAATTTTTTGACGGCTTCAATAATATCATTGTAGAAATCTGAATAGTTATTTGTGTCTTGAATGCTTAAGTTTTGCGGGTAATTCTTCATGAATTGTTCGAGTCTCTTGACTGCGTCCTTACGAATATCGCTTTCTTTTATTTCTGGTTCTACCAAATATTCTTCTTCTTCTTCATGAGTAAGTACAATTGGAATTGTACCAGAATTGGAAGTTTGTCTTTGTGTTTGCTGTGTAGTTTGAGAGGTTGAGACATGTGAAACTTGTTCTGGTGCGTTTGAAGGTTGGTTTGAATTCGAATTTGAGTCTGATTGACCCTGAATTGTATGAGGAAGTTGCTTTGGTATTATAGGAGGTTGTAAGGGTTTTGAGAATGGTGAGACATAAGTTGTAGGAACTTTAACTGCAGAGGTAGTCGACGAATTGTTTGCGACACTTTTTCTTCCTTCCATTATGAAAAATAAACTGTTTTTTTCGGACTACTCATAGAAAAGTTTAAAATAAACCGTTTTTACCAACGGAGACCCCCTCTATTTTTTTATTTTATTTAATAGTTACCGTTGGAAAACCGTTCCATCTCAAATATTGAATGAACTATAAACGTTTTTTGTTTTCCTATATATATTTTTTTGTCCAACGGTAAAACTTTTTACACAACGGTTTTTGAGAGTCGTCGCCGTTGACTTTTTTGTAGAGCACTCAAAATAGTATAACTTTGTCCGGACAAGTAAGGGTCTATCCTCGCTACAGGAAAAGTTACAGGCGTTCCAAGGAAGTATACTTTGAGAAGCCTTTTCCCCCTTATAGAATGAGATAGAACGGTTATTTTACAAAACTGACAACACTTTGACCGAGTAGTTTTTTGTGCTGAACAAAAAGTGTCATATAAACATCTGTCAAAAACCGCTTTTTAACTTCACTTAAAATGCCACGTAAGCTACGTAAGAATATACGTAAGAGGAAGAGAGCATTGAAACATCCAATAGTAAAACTAACACCACAACAACAGTTGCAACAACAAATGATGAATGACCCCACTATGTTGCAACAAATGTCAAGCAACCCTATGCTTTTAAACCGAGTTATTGGTGCACAGAGTGGAGGTTTAAGAGCGGCACTTTTAGCGAAAATGGCAGGCTATGGTGGAGCTGCAGACGGAACAGCTTATAACCCTCAAAGTCAAATGAATTTGAGTTCACTCAAAAATCAAATAACAGATGTCAAAAAGTCAAACATAGACATACAGAAACAAATAAGTGAAAACGAAAAGAAACTAGAATATGACAGACACACAAAGAAACTCAATGAGTTAAACGTAGAGAAAAAGAAGAAAGAAGAACAACTGAAAGAACTAAGTACAGAGGAATATGCGAAAAAAGTGTCAGAAAAAGCAGCAGAAGTAGCAAAAATGGAACAAGATGTTATAAATTTGAAAAACCATACTACTCAATATAAAGTACTGAAAGATGAAGAGATAAAACAAAAAGCCCTGAAGACATATATGGATAGCGATGAGTATAAAAAAGAAGTTGAAGCAAATGTAAAGGCAGAAAAACTTTTACAGTTGCAAAACCAAACCGTACAGTATGAAAACTTAGCACAAGAAAGTAAAAATAACGACGCAGCCATGCAAAAGGCAATGAAAAGCGCAGAATATATAAAAGCTAATAATGACAGGTTAGATGCCCAAGCCAACGCCAAAGCAGCCCAACTTATAGGGTCAATAAGGACAAAAATACAAGCGGATGAAGACAGTTCAAATGAAGCTTTAATGAATGCTGACTTTAAGAATGCCTTCGAAGCTCTTCATAGTAAGGTGAAACTAGTGAACGACTTCTCATCTGGAAAGAAACTGAAGTCTGAAGGTTTCGACAAAGAGTTAAGAGAAGTAGCACAAAATATGACGAAAATAACAGATGCAGCAACGAGACAGGCAGTTCAAAGTGCCTATGACGCCGTTAGAGCAACTGTTGTGGAAAGTCAAGAAAAAGAGTTACAACAGACCAAAACAGACCTAGTAAATGCTTTCTTAAAAACGAAAAGTCAGGTAGGACATTATGCTGCAGATGGAACATATGTGCCAGCTGGTGGAACTTATATACCACCAAACCCTCCAAGAGAAGCACCTGCACCAGGACTACCTAAAACATTTACATCGTCACATGGACACAGACACAGGCATGCACCACAACAACAACAACCAACAGTTCAAAACCCTGCACCACAACAACAACCAACAATTCAAAATCCAGCACAACAACCACCTCCACAACCAGCACAACAACCACCTCCACAACCAGCACAACAACAACCACAAACAGAGCAAGGACATAAAAGAAGTAGAGAAAAAGGAAACCAAGAATTCTTAAAAATGCTTAAGGAAGGTTATGGTTACCCAGATACTCTTGACTTTAGTGACAGATATAAAGAAGCTATTAGAAAGTTCAAGGAAGGAAATACTGACCCGAACCTATTTAGCTTTATGGTTCAGCACCAAATGAGATATAATTTCAAACCTGGAAAATACAAGCTCGCTAAGGGATATGATTTAATAGCATATCATCCAAATGACATGGATGAATTTACTCCGAGATATTTGTTGTCAGAGATAAATGATAATTCAACTATCTTCATGAAACGCGTAAAAAATAGAGACGGAACGAAAGAAGAAAGGGTTATGAATGCGGATGACTTAAATAGGGAACTTGTTAAAAACGGTCTCGGAATATATGAAATGCCAGCAGATGAGGTACAAGAAACTCCACAGGAAGAAGTTCAGATACAACCAGACATGGAAGAAATAGTTCAGCAACAACAGCTAGAAGAGCCTGAAGGAAACGAACAATCCCTCCTTTGGAAACTAACTTCACAGAACTAGATGAAGATTTGGAACAGCCGAAAAATCTTGACCCTCAACAAGTGTATGAGGTGAATATGGAATCTTTCCAAGAGTCTAAGAAAAATTCGGCTGACATAGTAGAAGAATACGAAAAATGTTCGCCGACATACAAAAGACTCCAACATCAGATGAAAATATTCAGCATAGAATGGAAGTACTGAAAGATAAGTACGCAAATACAATAACCCTTTTACTTACGACCATATAACGTTCAATCTTTGGATGAACTCGGTGAAAATAAAAGGTTAAATTTCCAAACAAAACATATAAAATGAAACATTGTTTAAAGTTCATTCAGAACCTAACAAATATGGAAACAAACCTACTTTTGTTTCTGCAGACTATGGAAACTACAATTGAGATGGGGTCATAAAGCTAATCCGGATAGGTGGTTCATAAACTTACAACCACAATTCCAAGAAGTTGTAGACGCAATGGAAGTGAATGGTGAACCAGATATAGCTGGTATTTTCAGCGCGGCTTTAATGCCATTGAAAGATATGAAACATGCAGATATTTTTGGACCAGTATGAAATGAACATGGCTGATGAAATATAACACCTGACGTTCTAGAACATTTATCTCAAAGAACTACACAGAACCATAGAGATGGTATATTTGGTGAAGAGTTTAGAAAGAAAGTTAGGGAGAGAGAAAGAAGAGAACCTATTGTACATGACCTTGCAAACGAAAGTTTGCAAAATGTCATAAAAACTTACTTTGCAGACAATGCAATGAGAAGGGATGAATATTTAAGAAAACTCAAATGGACAGTACCAAATGAAATGTTAGTATTGAAAAACATGTTCCTTGACAAAATAAAACCAACTACAGAAATAAATGACGCAAGACTGAAACAGTGGGTAAAAGCTTTCCCATTCACAAAAGATATTATTGGTAACATGGAAAGAAAAACCAGAATGGCTACAAAAACATATATTTGGAAACGAGCTTATTCCATATGGACAAGCTCTGTTTGAAGAGCTTGAACCGGAAACTCAGGAAAGAGTTATGCAAACAATACGCGAAGACTCAAATACAAAACTATGACAAAATCTTTCTAGGATATAGGTTACCTGAGATGGGCGACCAGAGCCCAAAAGGCAAAAAGGACATGGGAAATTTACAACATACTAGGTGAACATGAGGCAAAGATGCAACAAAACTCAGTCAGGAAGAAAGTAAAGCTTGGTACAAGTGGGTTCTATTATGACACATAAAATTCAACTATTCTATATTTTTACCCATATGAAATGTACGCCGCTCAGAATATAACGCCAACAGTTTTGGATGCCATGAACGGAAATGTTCCGAATGGTATAACGAATGCGACAATGCCATTAGAAGGTCAGAAATAGTTCCTGGAACTTACGAATATACAACTGCTGTTTCTTATGGAAACGTAGGTGAGTTTGGAGAAGGTTCTTCAACAACAGTAGATATTGCTTGCGACAGGTTTCATATTATTTCTATTGACAACTCATTCTTATACGTGGAACAAGACATTGAAAATAAAAACCTTCTGCCAAGTTGTCTGACAAGAAAAGGTTGCAATGGAATTTTCTATGTCGGATACCAATATGCTCCAGAAGTTTTCATGGGATATAAGATATATTCTAACTCTGACTTAGTTTCAAACAGTAACATGGGCAAACTATGAATGGTTCGCTTTGAGAAACTCAGTACAACCACAAGCGAGAGAACAAACAGACCAGTAATGCAACTATTGAGAAATAAGAAGACTTGACCCTAACGTTCCAGGAGTTTATGTTAACCTTTCTGGTTCAGATGGAATTGCTGCCACTAAAGTAAAACTGAAACTTAGAGTTCCTTTGTCATCTTTCCTCATCTTCAGGTTTTTAAGATACTTGCCAAACTGGGCAGGAAAAAATTTCTATTGAACTTACTCCAAGCAAAAATAACTTAGTCATTGCACCAACACAAGACCCATTCACTCTTACAGACGTAACGGGAACAAATAAAACGTCATTCGCCGACTTTTGCAAAGACAAAGTTGACTTAGACTTTGGTTTCTCAAACCTCAACACTGAAGTAAACTATTATTTCAATGCTGCCTGGAACTGCTTGGGACCCAGTTAAGTTCACATGCGAAAAATTTGAATGCAAGAGAATAGAAAGCAGACTTGCAGTCTGTATGTTGGACCCAGATATTTCAAATGCTTTAGCTGCCAAATATATTGCAGTTCCACTTATGTTCCCTATACACCAAATATCTGTCAAAGACTTTGCAGGTGAAGTTGGAAACCAAAGTGCTGACCAGGTGCAAGAACAGATATTGCTTTAACAACTGCAATGAAACATGCAGATACTATGTTTTACTGTTCAGACGAACTATAAATGACTATTCTTGTTTCTACAACCCTGGTATTAAATATCATATAAACATAGATGGCAAATATTATCCAAGAGAAGAATATTCTACAGTTGAGGATATGAGGTCATACAACTTGACATTAGATGCTATGAACTTTAACAACAACTTCACAACAACCATTAACCCTGAAATGCAAAGTTCTATTATGCCATATGTGAAAGTATGGACTCATACAGGAGGTCAAAAAACTCAATATACAAATGGAGACCGTTCAAACTTTTGGCTTGGCATTCCATTTGCTGACTCAGAAGACTTTATGGGTGGTATTTCAACTGTTGGTACTGTACAAATACAATATACTGGGACAGAGACGGCAGATGAATTGAAAGCAAAGAAGTTTACAAAACCAATAGCACTTTTCACGGAAGATGCTCTTTTGAAGATTCGTTCGATGAAACCTGCTGGGGCTCCTCAGATTGGCATAACGACAGCTTCCATCGAGCAGATTTTGGCAGCAGGTCAGTAAGTTGTTCTTGAACTGACTTCTCTCCGTCAAATATTGACAGACGCCAGTTTTGACATAATATTGTATTATAAACTTTCCTTTAGTAATATCGGTCAGTTTTGAAGTTATATTTTTGTCTGCTTCAAGAACTTTCACCATTTCAGTTATACCAACTTTCTTTGCTTATGAAAATATTTAGGTTCAGCAAAGACTGCTATTCTATAACATTTTCCATTGTTTGTATAAAGAACTATTCTGTCAATGTATTTGTATTGTTTGTGAGTATAAACCTTGTTTTGCTTCAATTCAATAAGATATCCGAATACGTCCATCTTTTTATTCTAAGTAAAATGTCATTTCCGAAAAATAGAAGCGTAAGTGTTTCAAAAGGTTTAATGGCGGTGGCAGATGTGAAGTTAAATTCACCAACTCAAACAAACAGTCAAAGTGTTGTTGTCAATGTCAAAAACAGAGATGTTGAAGTGGGGAAACCATACGAAGACGAAGATGGTATAACAATTGTTCCTGTAAAGAACCAACATATCCTGAAGTTAGCAGAGACTTAAGTTCTGTTGCAGATATTCGAAACGACTACCAACAACTGAAAGACAAACTTCAAACTCAGGAGAAGATTTGTCAAGCTTTAAGTATAATGTTAAACTTGGTCGAACACAACCCTGTAAAAGTGAACTCATATGTCATTGCACCTCATGAAGTTTTGAAAGAACTATTGAAACTTTTGACAGAGGCAGACGATATAAACATCAAAGAAATAGAACCCGACATTAGTTGCTGTGGTGTTTCATATAATGTCATTGACAAGATATACGTTATGAAAGGAGGTGAAACGTTGAACTTAAAATATAGTTTCCCAGACGTTATAAAATATTTGACGACCACAACATTTCATTAAAATTTATTTGCTAAGTAAATGGCAGAAGACATAATGGTTTATACTATTACGACTAAAAACCCTGAGTCATATAATTCTATAACAACAAACTTACAAAGTCCTCAAGGACGATATTGTAAACTAACCTTAAACACAATGACGACTAAAGCCTGTTTTGCTCTTTGACACCAGAAGACTTTATTGTTGTGAATGGTAAAAAATACTCCTTTGAAGATACTTACTCAGATATACCACCAACAGGTTTTGTTGACTTATTTAATACTTTAAGTACGGGTGTAACATGTGCTGCAACTAGAGCAGGTTTCATTATGTTTGGATGTCCGACTGAGTTTACTATAAACGATATGAGCTATAATACAAAACTTATTTCTGGTTTTTACTACCAACAGTTTCCTATAACAGGAAAAGGTGTCATACAAGGAATGTCTATTCCATTGACATTAAGCACACCAATCTTATATATTGTTTCAAACTTAGGTTCAAAGTGCTATTCGAATGTCGACAGAAACTATTATGACCAAAAGATACTTATGCGTATAAACAATACTTTCTCTGCTGGTTTGCCTATTGTTCATTCGAATGCAGAATTTTCAACCTTAGTGAACTCAAACACTTTGGCAAGTATAACGTTGACATTAGTTGACGCAAACTTTGTTCCTGTAAAACTTTTATGTCCTATGTATTTGTCAATGACGGCAGAAAGTTTCGAATTGGAAGATGCAACTGGTGAAAGTATTGTATTACAAGAACAACTTCAACAACAAATAGCTCAAGAACAACAAATGCAACAAATGCAACAAATGGAACAACAAAGTCAAGAATAAAAAAATATTATTTTTTTATTTTTATAAAAATGTACAGAATAGATGTTTCAGATTTTTATGACTTCCAAGCATTCAGAAATATGTGCCATTTAGAGACTATAACAAAGCAGTCGAGAATTTGAAACGTTTAGTCATTTATGTTGACTCTGCCCAGAATGTTATGTCATGAAAGAATGTGATGTTGTCTTTAACAAACCAAGAGCAACAATAGTGTCTGAACAAGAATGTAGACAGAAACTTAAGAAAATAAAAGTCGTACAAGTTGGCATGAAGATGTTAGATGCTTGGGATATCTTATTGTCAAAGTTAGAAGATTTTTCAGTTCGAGGTATAAAGTTTTATACACCTTCTCCAAACTTCTATTCTATCTTCACTGGATATAAATACGAACAAGTAGAATGGAAAGAAAATATTATAGAAGCTTGGTTAGACCATGTCAAAGAAATTATATGCAATGGAAACGAAAAGGTTTATGAGTATATCTTATGTTGGTTTGCAAACATCTTACAACATCCAAGTGCTAAAAATGAAACTGCTCTCATTATAATTGGAAAACAAGGAACAGGTAAGAACACATTCTTTACAGATATCTTATGCAAACTGTTAGAGGGCTATTCGAACCCTAATATGACAAACTTAGAAAACATCTGTGGCAAGTTTAACTCCTCAATAGAGAATATGAAACTTATAGTTTGCAATGAACTTCAAAAGTATAGATACAACAAAAGTTTTGAACTCAGATGCTTTGAAGAGTCTTATAACAGATAAAGTTGGAGTTGTTGAAAGAAAATATAAAGACCAAAGAGTTTGTGAAAATGTTGCAAACTTCATTATGGTTTCAAACAATGTTGTTCCGATGAAGTTAGAAAGTTCTGACAGAAGATATGTAGTTGTCAGAACGTCAGATTCTCATATGCAAGATACAGAATATTTTGACGACTTAGCAGAAACTTTGACATCTGACTTTTACAACCACTTGTTCTCATATTTTATGACATTAGATATTTCTAAGTTCAATCCAAGACAAATTCCACATACCGAAGAGAGACAAACATTGTTAGAAGCAAACAAGAGTGTTTATGAACTGTTCATAGATGAAACTGACTTTGTGTCATTAGATGAAAGGTCATTGTACGATTCGTATAAACAATATTGTCAAGAATATGGTTATATGGCAGCTTCTAAACGAACATTCTTGGCAAATGTCAAAAGTCTTTTAGATGTTCAGAATGGTGTATATACAAAGAAAATTTTTTCTGAGTAAATTTTAAAAAAATTTTTTTTATCCGATAGAAAAGATGACAAAATATATTTCAGTAAACAAGTACATGAATGAAGTCAAAGATAAGTTAGACCCATTCACATATTTGAATGTTTACTTCTACCATTTTGAAAAGTCTTCATTCAGCAAAGTTTGGAATATCGAACCAGTTAAGTTTGCTATTGTGACTAAAAATGGTGCGAAATTTGAAGACTTAGACATAGAAGGTTTGTTAGCAGTCAAAGAAAGTTTTGACAGAAGGTTCTCAAACCTTAAAGAAGGCAAAGCATACAAACTTGTTATACCTTATGAACCAAAGAAAGCAGACGACTATGAATATTATGAGTCTAAGATAGTTGAAGTTCAAGGTAAATTGGGTAAAAAGATTTTAGAGTCTAAGCCAGTGTTTGCCCCTAAAGAGGAAGAGAACATTGACATTGACCAGAAATGTTCTAAAAATAAAATTTTATTTTTACATGTCATATCTCCCCTTCTCTGGAACTGGTTCAGGTTCTTTCTTCTCTTCTTCTACTTTCTTTTCTTTCTTTTCTCTCTTCTTCTTTTCTGGTGGAGTTATGTCAAATTTGGCGCAACCATATTTATGTAAAAGTTCTTTGTCCTTTAATAGCTCATCTATTCTGTTTTTTTTTTCATCTTCAAGAACAGCGCATGTGTCTTCTTTGCATTCTAAGAAGTTTTGTTGGACTTCATCTCTCCAAGAGGCGTCATCTCTGTCAACAAGTCTGTCATTGACAAATTTTAAGACTTCTCTGCTTAATGTTTTATGGTTCTTGTCATATTCCCAGAAACAGAACTTTAGAACAAATTCACCTTTCTTGTTTACACTATGTAAGATTTTATGGTCGACAGATGTTTTGCTGTCAAAAAGTTTGTCTCGAATATAGATAGCGAAATCGCTAGACATTTTCTAAAAGATAAAAATTTTAATTTTTCTAAAAATATGTTAGAAAAAAAGTTTGCTGACATTGACAAGAAATTTGAGAATGTTTTAAACAAGAACAAGAGGAAGTTAGAAAATGCTCAGATAAAGCCTATACATGACAAGTTCTTATTTGCTCAGAATGGTATAACAGGTCTAATTGCACCACCTGGGTCGGGTAAGACCTTCACTTATCTTAAAATGGCTGCACAACAACAAGAACTAGATGAGAAGAACCCATTCTATGAGTTAGTTGTTATTTGTTCGACTTCTGGTCAATTTGACCAAACCGTCAATTCGTTCAAAGATATTATAAAGAAGCGAAGTTAGTATGTATAAAGGATACTGAGTTGTTAGATGGATAAAGAAGTACCAAAGAAGAGGATTTTGAAGTATAATGCTATAAATGAGTATATAAATTCTAAGTTTAAAGACCCAAATGAGGAAATGCAGAGAATATTAGAGAAGAAACACTTCAGAACAAAAACAGAAAGAGATAGAATACATTTCGAAGAAATTGCAATCTTACGATTGGAAGACATACCTCATAGATGTCTTCTTATCTTAGATGACTTTGCTTTCTCATCCTTTGTTAAAGAACAGAGAACAAGATATGTGTCGAATTCTTAAGAGCTCACACTTTAACATCTCAGTTGTCATTTGTGTACAGACAGCAAAGAGTTTAAGTAAGGATGTAAAGAGAATACTTACTGACATAATACTTTTCCCCGGATTGTCGAAGACGATTTCATGGAACTTATGAAAGAGTCCATGGCAGGTAAGTTTGACAGACATGAACTATGGGAGAAGTACAAAGTCATACAAGACCCTCATACTTCTTTTCAGAATTCATATCTACGCAAACAAAGTTCAAATTGTAAAAAGTCAAGCTTGAAAAATGTAAGTGTTTAGTCTTAGTAAGTAAGTCTGTTGTGCTGGGGCTGTCGGTTCTTCTGGCTTTGAAGGCATTCAGGAAGAGGAACGTCAGTCATCCGTTTGTGTCCTGTCGGAAGGAAAAATTTTTCCTGTCGGATGGAAGAGTTCTTCCTGTCGGAAGGAAAATTTTTTCCTGTCGGATGGAAAAATTTTTCCTGTCGGATGGAAAATTTTTTTCTGAAGTTCGACCAAAAAGTTCTCAATTTTCGAAAATTTGAATGGTTTACGGACGGACAACTGGAAAAATTTTTCCTGTCGGATGGAAAAATTTTTCCTGTCGGATGGAAAAATTTTTCCTGTCGGAAGGAAAATTTTTTCCTGTCGGATGGAAGAGTTCTTCCTGTCGGAAGGAAAAATTTTTCCTGTCGGATGGAAGGACTCGGAATGCCAGAAGGATTTGACAAGCCAATTTACCATCTAGAGCTACCTGAGCCATCTGAAGTCAAGCTTGAAAAATAAATGGTTCATTTACTCTGCTTGTTTGAAGTTGTCAAAATACTCTGTTATTTTTTCCTTTAACAATGGCAAATCTTCTTTGAAGGTAAGAATTGTACAACCTTTAATATCATAGTGTGTTTGAGGTAACATATCTTGAACTATTTGTTTCACATCTTCATTTGGGGTCATTGAAATCGGTAAGTTTTCGCGATAGAACCAATTTCTGTCAGATTTGTAAATCTTAGCAAGGTCGTAAAAGCTTTTGTTGTTTCTTCTGACTAAATGCAACATAACCATATCTCTGTCTTCTTCTTTCTCCAACTCTTCAGTATAAATCATATACTTATAGTTCTTTTCCTTTCCTTTTGGTACCGAACGTGGTATTCTTTTCTGAATGCTTTTGTCTTTTGCTTCAATGACTTCATCTTTTGCTTCAAGCTTGTTTTCCATCTCTTCACGTTCTTGTCTATGAATTTCGTCAAGAAGTCTGTAAATATACCAAGCATAACGAGGCGAAGCCCACATTGCAACAGCATTTACAAGAAGTCTATGTACATACCAACCTCTCAAACCATTTGGCAATTTTTCACGATTTTCATAGAGTTTTGGCGACTGGGGTTTTTTACCTACTCGCTGTTCTTCACGATTTTCATAGAGTTTTGGCGACTGCGGTTTTTTCCCTACTCGCTGTTCTTCACGATTTTCATGAGTTTTAGGCGACCCAGATAAAAGTCGGTCTCGCTGTTCTTCACGATTTTCATGAGTTTTAGGCTAGACCGATAAAAGTCGGTCTAGAGAAATTTCACTGTTTTCATACGGAATCTCTTCCCTCGGTTTTCCGAGGGAAGCAATCTTATGCCATTTTACTCAGAATTTTGGTCATTTTTCAATAAAAATAATGTTTAGGGTAGAAGGTTAGATCTAACCTCTTTTCTAACCTCTTTTCTACCCCAGTTATTTTATAAGCGTTTTACATGGTAAACGTTATTTTTACATTATGACACGAAGTGAAGAGTAACACTTCGTCAAAAAAATCCCTGAAATCATATCTTTTATACAAAAAAATAAATAAAAATAAAAATAACTTTATTTTTTCTATCTTTCACAAAAGACAAAAATAAACGCTTTACATGTATTTTTCAGCAACTTCGTCAAATAATTTTATAGCTTTATCTATCTCATCTACTTCAAACGTTTCTTTACCTTTCGTGGGAGCACCATATATTTTCTCAAACTTTTCAAGTAGTTCTGTTTCTGCAGCTCTCATATCATGAACAAACACAACCTTGACTCTATTGACTGTACTGTCATATCTTAGAGTTATATTATATGTTCTTCCTATCTTATATCTTTTTGTATTGAAGTCCTTCGGTTTCTGAACGATGTAAAGTAAGCCTTCACTGCAACGTTTCGTATCGAATGAACCATATGTTATGAAGTTATATCCAACAACTGGGTCTAACCATAACAAAACTATTGGTATAAGACTTTTGTCGATGAGATATGCTGCAGTTCCATAGAATTTTACCGATATCATAAGCTCAGGATTTCTTGTCAAAATTTTCTGACTAGAAGCAATTCTAACCCAGTCCTGCGGTCTCTTTCCAGATGGAGATATAATGTCTGACAAAGAATATTTGTTGTATTTCTTTGAGTATCTTACGTTTAAATCACCAATTCTAACCACTTTGGTGTCATTGTCTATCTTTCCAACTGTTTCAAACTCAATGTTTGTCATTTCTTTCTTTAAGTCTGCATAGTCGTTTCTCATTCTTTCTATCTCTTTGACGGAGTAGTTATATCTCCTCATTGCTGCTTTACATTTAGAACATTGCGGGTTCATTTTTGCGTTATATTCTGAAACCTTACCTGCTAAAACAACCAAGGCGTCAATGGTTTTCTTTAACTCAAAAGTTGCTGGTTTTATCTGTTTGTTCCATACCTTACCTCTTCTATCTTCATCTCTTATCTGCCATACACATTCTGCAACTAACGAAACAAAGTTGTCGTAGGTCTTAAATTCTTCGGATTTATATATGTCAGAAACATTCTTATATACCATGTCGCAATCTTTGTCCATAACTTTATGGTTGCAATGAAAACCAAGGAATTCATAATTTACCTTTCGTATGAACTTCTTTATTTCTACTGAGTCAGTTGGTTTCACTTCTATTTCGTCGAATTCAGGAATAGTTAGTTTTTGTTGCTGAATTTCAGGTAGTTTAGGCAAATGGTCAATAATGTCCTGCATGTCATAAAGATACTGTTCATTTGTTTCATCTTTCGCACTACAGTCTAAATTACTTGTTAAAAGTTCCTGCTTAATTTTTTGTATTTCTGTTCCAAAACTATATGAAGAAGGAATGAAGTTTTTCATCTCTACTAACATAGATGTTGGATTCATGACTAACGAGTTTGGTGCTGTTGTTTGAATTGTTGTTGTGCCGATTGTTGACATTTCTGTCTTTACATACAAAATAAAAAAAATAAATAAAATAAAACTAACTTTATTTTTTTATTTCGGGGAAATTCATGAAAATTCAAGAGACCCAAAGGGTCAGAGCCGCAAAGCGGCTAGGGTAGAAATGAGGTTAGATCTAACCTTCTACCCTAAACATTATTTTTGCGGAATTCAATAAAAATAATGAGTTCATTTACTCACAATATTTTTGTACAAAACGACCCCAAACTTTTAACTTCTTTTCTGCAGCTTCAAATGCTATCTTAGCGAGTTCATATTCTCTAAATTCTCTCTTTAAATCTTCTTGTTCCCATTGGTCTAGTTCGTATGGGGAATCTCTATAACCATAACATATCTCACGTTCATGTTCTAATTGTTTTTCACACATTTTTCTAACTTCTTTTTCAAACAAATGTTTAGCATTCTCTACTCTATCTTCGAGTTCTTCTTCATCTAACTTCTCATGAACTTTCTTGTCTATGGAGTCCATAATTTTTCCAACTGCTATGCAATATTTTGGAGAAGCCCACATTGCTATATAGTTTATAAGTCTTGGGTCTACATACGTTCCTCTAACCTGTTTGATTTCATCAGGAATTCCTGCATGAATTTTGTATAAAAACCAACCGCCGGAATTCCGGCGGTTGCTATATTCTTCACAAAATGCCTTATAATACTCTTCCCAGGACTTATTTTCCAACAACTTTCTAAAGTCTTTCCTAAACTGCTGACACATATTTGTTGCATTAATGTAACCATCCTTGTCTCTACGTAAGACTTCAATACCGTTATAAGTGCCTTTTGTGAATGTTTCGCCATTAGATTTGTTCGTGAATGTTTTTGCTTCGACTGACAT